TCAAGGAAGAATGCCACTGAAGTTCTCTGACACCTGCTACTCTCCAACTTCAAGGTATTTAGGGAGCTGCACACACATAATTCCAGTATAGTCCAGACAACGTGTTTGCAAGAGTAGAGAAAAATGGACCGTCTGTGGACATAGGTATTTTTAGCTCTTTCTTCTTTGATTGCTATTTAAAAACCATTCACCTGTGAAAGCACACTACATCCCTGCTTTCTCATCAGCATCCCTGTAGAACTCTAACCAGTGCAGCAAAGCTCTGCTTTTAGAGATGCTTATCAGTCAATCTGCTTTTATAAAAGTTTCATGTGCTCTGCCGTGGCTTGTGTGTACCTGTTTGCTTATTTTGGTGTGTATTTCCTTTTTTATTCCCAAGGACAGCATTGGCCTCACATATTAACATCAGTTTGTTAACCATTTAAAAAAACAAGTGAAATAAAGCTCTGCCAAATTTTAGTTATGAATCAGCACCTTCTTAAGCCAAAGATTTTGAATACATTATTGGGACTTATTATGTTTTAGCTCAGCTTAGTTTTTCCACACCAAAAAGGCTACCATCTTGTCATTCCTCATTAGTCAAAAGAGCTCTGAGAGTTTTCACATAACAAACTAGCGGAATTAAACACAAGTTGAGATAGCCTTGTTAGAGTCACAGTCACGGAAACAGCAGAGATTTATCAAAAGGATAGGACAAAGCCTGATATGAATGAGAGCTTGGATGTTGTGTGCTCTGGATAATATACATTAAATGTCACCCCTACAAACTGTCAGAGAAGGAATGAAGTCCTGCACAAATACGTTATTTCTAGGCAGGGTCTCTAAAGTGAGCTCTTCAGTTCCTGTTGAGAGCCAGTCTTTAAAGAGCAGGCAGGTGAGAGAGAGATGGGCTTCTTTTCCTAGTTGTGTAGCTGTCTGTGATGTACATGAGTGCTGTGGACAAGTTCCCTCGGAAGGTCTTATAAACAACCCCAGTAAAACTCACTGGGTCATCAGAAGAAAAGGATAGTAAAGTATAAGCGGAACTCATGAGAAAAAGGGAGGGGATAAAGAGGATATATGGGTAAGAAAATATGATTGAAATACGTTATGTACATGCATGAAAATGTTACAGTGGACTCCATTATAGGTGTAACTAATATATGCTAAGAAAATATATTAAAAGAGGCCCATTTTATTATTTTTTCAGAAAATTGCCTTGATAGGTTCCTAGGAAAAATTAATAAGCAAAATTAATTTTGGAATATGAAAATTTGCTATCTTGACACTTAAACTTTAGAACCAGCCAATCAAGGGACTGAAGGTTCCATAACCTCCTTCTGTCAGCAAAGCTCAGTTACGCCACCTGTCTTGCACAATCTTCTAATAGGATCCCAAGGATTGATTGGGTAGAAAAAAAAATAGCACTCATCACAAAATCACCATGTGTCAAGCCATTTATACACATGAAACCGTTTACCCCACCATGTATATCAGGCAGAAACTATTGGTCTACAGCGCCACAGATAGCAAATAAATGCTAAAATTTTAGAGTCTGGCGGACTTCTAGCATATTTCTTTACTTTTGCTATAACATATGCTCTCTATCATGGATTAAATAAATGCCAGTGCTTGTGTATGTGTGTGTTTCTATGTCTGTGTCTATGTGTCTCTGTATGTATATATATCAGCAAAGTAGTACATGTGTATTTTTTAGTTCTCACTACAAATTAGGTATGGTGTGAATACATATGCATGTAAATGTTCCCACCTTGATGACACTGTCTTTCCTCCAGTTCTTGTATTTCCTCCATCTATTCTTACTTTATGTGTGCAAGAGCTTGGAAACACTATCCTTTAGGTAGACCCTAACTTAAGACACATTTCTAAGAAAGCAGCTGTGCTCAGTTTCTGATGAAGTGGGAGTGACAAAAGGCAACTGGAAAACAGGGACATGTTCACTGTGGAATCATTGAGGTCAAAGTTAAGTACAGGTAAGGACTAGAGAACAAGGCAGTATTCTAAATTATGTTTGTACACTATTATTGAATCATTAATTCTGAAGTAATACTCCACATCATTAAAATGTAGTCTGCATTTCAATTTCTGTGCAAAGATGCATCTTTAAGCTCAAACACAACTGCTACTTAAATGGTCCATTATGTTAATACAGATAATTGTTGACTATAGTCAAATACATTACAGGAAACATACCCAATGCTATTGTAACTGTTCATATATAAATTTATCCAAAAATAAGAACATCCTATACGTGCTGAACTATTCAAATAATCATGAAAGACCTTACATATTCCAAAAATGTGTCATTTTTGTGGATTTTTAGAGCTCATGAGTTAGACAATACACTTTCCAAATTTTCTATAGCCAAATTAGATTGAAATAAACTGTAATTGGTGTAATGCTTAGATATTTCAAGGAATGATATACTGCAGATAGAAAACCAAATAGCATTCAATAGTTAATTCAATATTAAAAGACCACCATTTCCTGCAGAGTGGAAACATAGAAAGAATATTTGCAAAAAGGCAAAGTAAATAAAATGACCACTAAGTCTATTGATAATATTGTTAAGACATGGTATGCTTTTATGATTAGTTGTACAAGTATGGTTTCTTGGCCATGTAGAAAGGGGAGGAAAAAGTCAATAAACATAACCATGCATTCTCTAGGTGCTCTTGTGTTAGAAGTAGGAAAAAAAAAACCTGAAGCCTAATTGGAATCATTATCATTGCAACAGGTTTCGAGTTAATGAAGCCAGTGCTACTACTGAGAATTAAGTTCTGGCCTAACAGCCTTTGACTCTAACAAAACTATGTCATTCCATTCCAATTGCACTTTAGCCTTATGATCCACATGTACAATAATTTCCATCAATGCATTCCACTCATCTTACAGTCTTGTGCACAGTTTCACTGGCACTGCAGATTTTTTTTCCTATATAAATCAAAGCTATATAAGATGGAAATTTTTCCTAATTAAAATTATTTTGAGAGATCTCACTAGAAGAGCTTAATTTAAAAAGAACTTTTCCTGATGTTAGGACAAGGAGATAAAGCTTTAACATGGAAATAAAATTAGACTTGAAGGAGGAGATGATCTAGTAAGGCATTCTTGAGATGAGTTTCAGATGCTGCTTGGGCTTTTCAGGCTGGTTCCCCAACCCTACAAGGCAGAAAGTGTTTTAAGAAATGTTGATACAAAATTGTATGTATTGGAACCATAGTCACCAGTTCATTGTAAATGTTTACTCTGAGTAATGGCCATAAACTAGATTATCCACAGTCGCTTAAGAAAGCATGAGGTGTTTGCTTGGATCAGTTACTGGCTCATGCTTCCACTTGAATTTACAGTTTTTGATAAATTCATTTTAAAGGTCAAGTTATTTCAAATTGCATTTGCTGCCTAAGGTGATTGCCTGCCATACTACCAACAATGAAGGTACTTTCCCTCCATATACATGTATATACCCAATATATTTATTTAGTATAATATATTTATTTAGTATAAATAAATTTATGCTAAATTTATTTAGTATAAATAAATTTGTATATTTCTGTCACACCAAGTCCGGTCAAGTTCACGTAGCTAGTTCATGAAAATGCATTATCCCAAGAATACACAGTTAGTGATATTAGTAGATCAATATATAAGTTTTGTGTTACTATCCAGAGGAACAATCCTGGTGTAGGAGACAGGAGGAATGAGTATATTCAGTGATATTAGTCTATATCTCAAGATGCTAGTTCACTTTCATTAGTCATGGTAAGAATGTTTCCTGGGGTGCAAAAGTCAAAAGGAAGTTTTTGTGGCAGAATTATGTAAGGAAACTTACACTAGGGACTGCCCACAAACCATGCAATTTAGAAACAGCCAAGAAACAAAACCGTATGGAAAGAGGGATAAATAACAATATTGTATTAAGGGTTATTATGCAACTACAAAGATTCAATATGACCCTGGCAATAGAGCAAAAAATAGTTATGAAAAGAAGCTATTTCTTATGCTCAGAGCTAATTTTCAAACATATGTACCTGTATTTGAAACTTTGAGCATTTCACACATTTTTCTGTATCTGAAAAAAAAATGGATCCAGACTGATATTGTGTATCAAGATAGCTGAAAACAGTTCATATAAAGGTAGCCGAAAGCGAAGTTCAATAAGAATTCATAAAAAGAACATTATCCCCACTGCTGAGAAAGCTCGTTTAATGTACACTTTGCTTGTATTGGCCAAAAGTAATTTACTCTTCAATTTTGCTAGAAAGGATAAAATATCTCTAGTAATATGGTTTTATAAAATTTTAGTTAAATGAAATGAATATTAAAATGTGTTTATCAAACTGCAGGTTCAATTAGTAACTTCAAAACTGAAATATAATTTTATATTGACAACATATATTCCACTATCAAAAGTTAAATATATTTTTCACATAATTAACAATAAAATCATTTACTTTAATTTTTAAATGTTCAAGAGCATTGGTGCTATCAAAATAACATATTTTAATATTATGTTCATGAAAATTAAGCCATATAAAATAACATAACATAACGTATCATTTTATCTATGTTGCTCTAAGATGGAATAGAAAATATGTAAACACATTAATATGACTTGAGACTGAAGAAATTTGAAGGATGGTAAAGATGTTCTTATCTCCCAGTATATAATTAATATATTATGGAATACTAAGCATACATTTCAAATATGTCTTCCTGTTTATAGGTACTTGACTGGGAATATTATGTTTTATACATATTTCAAGAAAATAATGAAAGAATTCTAGAGACAGATTTAAACTTTATGCAATGGACTTGTAAGCTTACAACTAAAACAGCCAATAATAAATTATGGCATAAGTTCTCTATCTGACTGTAATATGATCTGGTCTGTGCTGAATATAGGGAACTACTAACACTTGCACTCATGTTAACATGCAAACATAGTAACACAACCCAGAGTGCATGCTTTTTCCCTCTATTTTTTTTCTTTCACTTACTGCCTTGTAAGTTCTCTTCTGCCCAGCGTGCTTCCGGATTTGTTCTCCATTCGGTCCTGTTTCCACATGCATGGAATAGATGATGTCAAAGAAATCTTCAACCACAGCCACTCTCCTTAAGGACAACTTCTCATCAACTCCGACGCCATCCTGGAGATGAAACAAGACAACAAAAAGGACAAGAGACACAAACAAAAACATATAAAATTAGTGAAATCATTTGTGTTTTACAGATGAAGTTGATTAAACCGAAATATTTTTATAAAATAAGTCAAATAATCTCCAAGAACATTTTTAAAAATGCTTGAAATGAAGTTCTTGCCTTCTTTCTGCTTTCAAAAAAGATTTTCCTATGTATCCCAGGCTGGCCTCAGTCTCTCAGTCCTGAAAAGATTTTCCTATGTATCCCAGGCTGGCCTCAGTCTCTCAGTCCTGCCGCCCCAGACAGACAACACCACAGCCAGCAACCCCATAACTCTATACTATGCATACTGAATTATAAAATGTTAGCAAAACACATGGTTAATATTAAGTAAATCATATTTATCCATCAATTCCATCTTTTGGGTTCTTATAATGTTCAGCATAACTTTAAAAAATATAAATTATACATTTTAGCACCTGGTAATTTTTAATACAGTCATTCCATTCTAGATACTTCTCAGCCATGTAAACAGTATTTGAGTTGCTGGCTCATACTTGTATTTAGAAAATAAAAGACAAAAACAATAGTATTTATTGGAGCTTTTTTCTCCAAACATAACTTAAGAAATAAAGGCATCTTTCTTCAACTGTAGACTGAGTGGCAGATATGCCAAAGGTTAAGATGTCATTCTTCAAGGTGGTAATTTTCAACTTGTGGGTTGCCAACCATTTAGGATCACATATCAAATAGCCTGCATATCATATATTTACATTACAGTTTATAAAACTAGCAAAATTAAAGTTATGAAATAGCAATAGAAATAATTTTATGGTTGGTGGACACCACAGCATGAGAAACCATATTAAAGGGTCACAACATTAGGAGGGATGGGAACACCTGATCTAAAAACACCTAGTGTGAGCAATGGATCTCCCAAACAAAAACTGCATATTTTGATCAAATTGTTTTTGCATCACTAACTTCAAGTTTTCAGAGCTGCAAAATGGTTACAGTAGAAGCTGTTTCACAGGTAAGTTGTGAGCACTAAGGAGAATCGGGTATGTAAAGCATGTGACCCAGTCTCTGTCACATTGTAAACCTTCAGTGAATGCTGGCAGCGCCTATCATTTGAATGATCACATTACAATACAGTGAAGGTCCTGTAAAAATGCTAAGGATTGCATGATTATCTCCTCTTCAGGTATCTCCTTGGAAGAAGTACAACCTGACATAGAGGGAGCGTTTTAAGTCTCTCAGAGGGAAGTCCAGCCAAAAGGAAATAGTTGAAACAGATAGTAAATCGTATTAAACGGTAAGCTTAAGATGCTAGAAAAAATTAATATTCTATAAAAAGTTAATCTTATGTGACAACCTATCCACACCCACATGCACTCACACACATAAATTTATGCAGGAACACAGCATGTACATAGTGTTCCCATTTGAACCCTTAAAAATAAACTGGTGTACTATGACTTGGTCATTATTGCTTGAAAACAATATGAAATAGTCTTCCCCAGGAAAGAGCACACCAGTTGATTATTTAATAACCAATTGTCAGCTCTGAAAAAAATAACATAATACAGACTAAGCTGGATATATATTACAATATATTAAATATAGCTAATATAAATAATTATATTATGACATAATTATTACATAATATATATACTATATATAGACAAAAAAAACCCAATAAAACAGGCCCTGAGTTTGAAAGAAAATAAGGGTGCATACATGGAAGGATTTAAGGGAAGGAGAGGAAAGGGTGAAATTATGCAATTTTAGTATCAGAAAGTTTTAAAAATTAAAAATAATAGCATAAGAGAGTGAGTCCTCCAACTAAAGTTCTAAGTAGTCAAAGAGTATCCAATGGTAATCCTAACAAGCTGAGCTACTGCAAAATGAAAAGCAAGTCCCATCTATTTTTTTTCTTACATTTAGCATTTATTTGCATAGTTGTACTTTGCAGTAGGCTTGGAATGTAGCAGAGCCTGGAGCAGCATGTTCATACAGCTTCATATATGAGGTTTCACAGTAGGCTCAGTTACCAGGTCTTTCACAATGACTTCAAAATTCACCTCAGACATTCCCTGTGGTCCTGACAGTTTCTGGTTTGGCTTCAGACCTTTCTCAAATCTCTTCCTTTTATTTTTATTTATGTTTACAGTAGATCTCACTTATATTCTTTCCCCTCCATGGACTCCAGGTCCTCCTTTCTCCCTAGCCACCTAACTTCATGTGTTCTTCCTCTCCTCTCTCTTTCTCTCTCTCTCTCCCTTTCTTTCTGTCTCTCTTTTAACTTATTCTTTTCTCATCTATTGCATCCCTCTTTTAAATCTTTCTGTAATCCTTCTATAATGGGACCCCAAGAACAACACCACTCTGTCTTGTGACACAAGCCCAATGCATAGCAAGAGCTCCATGGAACTCAGCAGCGATCTCTGGAAACATACAGCTTAAAGAACACTGTGCAAGAAAGCACAACTTGCCCCAGAGGTCTCCCACTAGCCTGTATCCCCCATCCTCAGAGAATATCCATCTTCCTAAGTGTAAATCTAAAGTCTGGCTCTGTCCATGAGTAAAACCATCCATTAAACTTCATCTGCTTTTCTGCACATCATAAAATTTGTACAATATCTATTCCTGTTTCTTTGCTGAATAACCAAATGTAAGTTTCACATAATCGTTAGTGACATGTAGTGATGAAAATTTACAGACCTAAAGAAGCTGAATAACAAGAAAGACTCTAAGGAAGATGAGATGCTCAATTCTCATTCAGAAGGGAAAACAGAATAGACACCAGAAGCAGTAAAAGAGAAGGAACAGGATGGCAGCCTACCACAGATGTCCTCTAAAATACTCCACCCAGCAGGGGATTGAAGCAGATGTACAGACTCAAAGCCAAACTTTGGGCAGAGCACAGGAAATCTTATGGAAGAAGGAGGATATAGAAGGATCCAGAGAGGACAGGAGCTCCACAAGGAGAGTAAACAAAACAAAACAAAAAACTGGGCCCGGGGGGACTGCAGAGACTGATGCACCAACCAAAGACCATGTATAGAAAGGACCTAGACCTCCTGCTCTGATGCAGCCCACAGACAGCTCAGTCTCCATGTGGGTTCCCTAATAAGGGGAGAAGAGACAGTATCTGAATGAACTCGGTGGTCTGCTCCTTGATCAGTTCTCCCTGGTGGGGTGACCAAGCCAGCCCACAGAGAAGGAGGATCCAGACAGTCCTGATGAGACCTGATAGGCTAGGGTCAGACAGTAGGGAAGAAGGACTTCTCTTGTCAGTGGACTAGGGGAGAAGGATAGGGGAGGAAAAGGGAGGAAGGGCGAACCCAGAGTAGATGAGAGAAGGGATTACAACTGGAACACAAAGTGAATAAATTATAAAATAATTAATAATAATAATAATAAAGTTGCTGTATGTGGGGCAAAAAAATGGTAGTGATGTAATTTTTTTCTCAAATTCATTTGAATCTTATGTATCTACCTGGCTAAATGTAAAATGTAAAACTATTTATCCATTTTATCAACTATGTGAAGGGCCTAAAAATTAGGAAGCCCTGTGTTACTTAGTAGAATTATTAATATATATATGCATCTTAATATACATATTATGATACATATTTTAATATACATATATGGATAGATGATTGATAGATATATGTTATATAAATGAGAAAGGTAGATAGATGGATAGCTAGATGATAGATAGATAATTGATGACTCAAAGATACTGTCTAGTGCAGGAAATAAGTATTACAGAAATGATTGCTGGGGGATAAATTTCTCTTACTGTCTATATTCTTTCATCATGTTGGTGATCAAAAGTCCAGAGTCAAGGTGGCAAGGAAGCTGCATTCTGGCTGGAATCCTTGGTGGACCACAAGCCTCTGCTACTGACTGGCTGCCAACATTCCATGCTCGGGGTATTCAGAACATGGCCTCCTCTTTTGCCTAACCCCCTCCCTTTTTTTTTTTTTTCTGCCAGCCTCTCTTAATAAGCATCTTTATGATGACATTAAAATCCATTAGGTAAGGACTGGGAGATTGATCATGGGATAAAATGCTGGGTGTAGGATTTTGAGGACCTGAGTTTTAATCCCCAAATTTAGTAAAACTGGAAATGGTGGCACACTTCTGTAATCTCAGTGCTCCTGTGGTGAGACGGAAGGCAGAGAAGGGAAATCCCATCCTGAAGATGGCCCGGGGCCATTATGTGTCGCCTCCAGCCAAGGGGTTTTAGGGACCTGGGAGATATTGTGAGGGGGGAGCCAGTTTTCTTTAAGCATGCCCTTCCCTGGCAGATTGACTGCAGGCCCATGGAGCATATGGCTAGAACAATTTGGACTAGATAGTCTTTACAAACAAAGGGAATAAATATGAGTACAAAAATCTGTGAGGAAATGAGGAGAAATGCAGTATTTTGTGGTATTTTCAGTTTGGCATTACATACAAGAATAATTCCTTCAAGAGCATATAAATGGCTACATGATAAAAGAGTTGGGCATTACCAAGTTCTGGGTATTTTTCATTTTAGTGTAAATTACTTAAAAGTTTAATGAATTAAACTTTTAGTAATGTTCACACTTCTCTAACTATTCATTTATAAAGAAAGATATTATCACTAACTCTAACATTATCAAAAGCTAAGCCACAATAATAGTATATTATACCAATTAAAATGAGTGAATGGCATATTCACTGAATATGTTGAATTTTTATGGAGGAAATTTTAAAATAAAGCTGTGCAAAAAGAACAAGAATTTAAGAAACTGATACAGCTAACAATATGCTTTAAGGTCCCATGAAATACTTTTGATATTACTGAAAATTAGCAAATATAAGAAAGCTAAGCAAAAATGATGATGGCGTCTAGAACACAGTCTCTAGTAAACATCACCCTGTTCTTTTTCCACATGTAATTCACAGAATATAGTTAACTAAGGCCAACATATAACTACATTTACTGTGTAGAAGTCAGTGGGTGAAAATA